GAGAGTGAGTTTGTGGTACCTGGAGGTACTAGAGAGGAACAAATCCTTATCTTGGCAAACATGGGACCGTTTCCTGCTGGTTGATGCACTTGCTCACATAGTTGTCCCCAGTTGATGGCCACTTCCCACCAGTGGAATCCTCGCCTGCTGATGTATATGAGATCATCCTTCCATTTCAGCATTGGCCCTGTGATACGTATTTACCTGACTGGCTCTAAAGATGGTTTATACAGCCCTCAATGAATTCCTCTGACTGTGAGGATGGATGCTTGGTAAATATGTTTCCTCTCTGTTGAACCTCTAAGGAAATCCAAGCATGTGTTTTCCCTGTTGTGTGTCATGTGTTGTGATCACTATGGGGTGCATGGTGGAGGGGTCTAATTATGCATGATGGGGGCTCAGAAGAGATGAGGAGGTGCTATGCAGGTGCTGTTTCCTGTCTCCTGATGCTGCATCCAGACAGCACATCCCAGGCATGCTGCCTGCATGGCTCCCCGCAGCAGTGCCATGCATGGGGGAAGGCACCTCTCAAGCAGTGTTTGTCCCTCTGCATCTCTGCTTTTCTTCCCCAGCTCCCAGGAGGCTGGTCTAGCCCCGGAGAGTGCCTTGGAGGAGGCTGGAATGACTGAGATGGCAGCAATGAGAAAGCAGGTGAGCTGGGGGTGAAGGGCTGGGAAGAGCCACTGGAGGTGAGTGAGGAGGCTCTGGGGGTCCATTGCTCAGTCCTGATGGGCTGGTGTTGCCAGTTAGTCCCAGCTGATGCTGCTAATGGAGAGGCAGGGGAGGACTTACACGTGTGCTGCCCCATCAACCTCCAGCCCTGAGGGAGCTGTAAGGCTGCAGGAGACAGCCAGATCCCTCTGTCTGCTGGTGGTAAAGGGCTCAGATACTCTTCTGATGGGCAGGATCTTGGCTCAGGAGCTAAGGATCTCTGCTAGTTCTCCCACACAAAGACGGCTGCTGCTTTGGCAAAGGAGGACCTGAAGGAGATGGCAGTTCCCACCCCTCCATCTGTTGCTGTCCCACAGCTCTGGGGTGCTCCAGTGTCCTGCACAGGTCTGGCAGCATCCCCACTGCTTCCCTTGCAGCTGACGAGGATCTCGAGCAGGGTGCGGGTGCTGGAGGAGCAGTGCAAGGCCTCGCAGCAGAAGGAGATCCTGGTCTACTCCGTGCTCATCTCCGCCTGCCTTATCAACACGTGGCTCTGGATGAGGAGATGATTCCCTGTGCCCTGACCTCTCCTGCCTGGCGCTGGCAGGGTGGCTGAGGGCAGAGCAAGGATCCTTGCTCATGTACTTGCAGTCAGTAAACCTGTGAAGCCATGTGTTTCCTCTGACCTTGACCTGCTTTTTTCACTGTAGGCCCTTGAGGATCTGTGTCCTTTAGACCCTAAGGACAATGAAGATGCCATCCCTCTCCCATGCTCTAGCATCAGAGGCGGGTGAGGGAAGTGATGAGGCTGGACCTTGTGCCACAGCAGCTGGAGATGGGTGTTGGGGAGAGGTGGGGTACTATAGCACAACAGGCATAGTCCCAGGGCTGGGCTGTGGCTGCAGCTGCAGATGCTCTCTGTACCCTAGCAACCACCTTGTATGTTTGATGGGGTCAGTGCTCCTGTGGGAAGCTGCTGTGAAGAGCCCAGGTCTTGTGGCTGACACAGGAGGTGTGTGTGTCCTGCACGGAGCAATGGAAGACCCTCTGGTCCTCCTCCTGTCTGCCAGAGGAGATGCAAACCCAAGGCACTGTTTGTGGACACGAGGTCCTGTAACAGTCCTAAATGCTGGTGGGCCCAGTCCCCTGATTCAGTCCCAGCTTGGATAACCCAGTTCTGACCCCATGGAAGTCCTCAGCCAACTGCTGGGGTCTGTTCCTTGTCTTGCACTCCAAAACCTGCGGAGTGGTTGAGTGTATCTAAACTGCTGGTGGGTTTTCTCTTCCTTGTGCCACTGCTTTTTGGTGGAGGTTTACTGCCAGGTCTCCCATCCCATAGCCCCTGCTCCAGGAGGTACAGAGCTGAAGGAGCCAGCAGTTCCCATCCCTGCTGCTGTGCAACCCTCTTCTCGGCTCCTGTCCTGCTGGAAGCGCTTCAGCAGCATGTTTGCAAACATTCAAATCCAAAGTGACTGTAAGAGCGTTGCTGAGGTCTGGGCTTATCCTGCAGCTTGGCTCTTTCCCAGGGAGATTTAAATGGGAAACCTCCCCGTAGTGACTCTCTGGATTATGAGACCTCGTACCAACAGTGATAGCACCAGACAGGCCATGGAAAATTGCCCATTTGGGCAGCAGTAGATCTTTGTTAGGTTGCCAATGCCAGAGGGCAGGATTGCTCCAGGTCTGCTGCCAAGCTGTAACTTCAGTGATGGTGCATGAACATAGGTGAGGGGAATCCTTGGCCTGGATGCTCTTTAGCCAAAACCAAGGCCAGCTCAAAAGCTTTGCCATTTCTTTCCTTCTGCGGAGTTCAGTAACGCTTGGAACTGAGGTGACTTTGAGATGCTTTCGGGGGTTCACCCAGCACACCTGCTGGAGCTGTGCCTGCAGGCTCTGGGGCAGGCTTTGGCACCTCTCTGTTCCACCTATCAGTAATTGTAGCTGCACCTGCAGGTCACCCAGGTGTCCCAATAACTTATTCACAGGCATGAATGCTTGGGTGTTTTCTGCCTGCATCCATGGCTGTAAATCTGGACACTGACTAATAAGTAGCTGTCCTAATGTAATTGCAGCTCTGAACCTGTGGCTGAGAGCTGAGCACTAAGATATATTGCAAATGAGCGCCAGGATAGTGTGGTGTGGTTCCTATGGCTTGTGGCTCAGGGATGTGGTGAGGGTTACCAGGGGACCTTACACAGTGGGTCTGTATAAGGGGCTGCTGCTGAGGAAAGGAGGTGAACAGTTTGCCTGGTTTCTCTTCTCGGAGGGGTTTGGAAGAAGCTTGTGTTGGGTTTCCTTTAAGCTGTATTTTAGGATGAGAAGGGCTGACCCTTTTGGGGACACGACACCTTCAAAGTGAGGATTGAAGGTATTTGGGAGAGACATGATCAAACTGTATGTGTTCTCAAAGGCAGGTTAGAGGGGATACAATACGACTTTTATGTGAGGTTTAAATCTGGAAACACTGACCCATAAAATGCACATATTAATAAAGACCGTGTGTTCTGGATGTGTTGGGGTGTGATGGCTTTATGGATTTCCTTTCTCTCTTCCCTGCCTTCTCCTCCCAGCTCTGCCTTGTCCCAGGGCAGCACACGTGGCAGTGCTGGCTGTCTCCTGGGGTCACTGCCACAGAGATGTGCATGGCAAATAATGTGTCTTGTGCACCATGGGGCTCGAGGGAGCAGCTCCTGGAGCTGCTTTTGAAGGCAGCAGCAGGCAGAGAGCAGAAGGAGAGGTGAAAGCGGGGACATGTGCCACTGGCAGTGCTCCTGGTCTGTGGTCCCCAGTGCTGAGGACAGGAGCAGGGTGATGTGCCCCTTGCTGCTGGGTGCTCACCCCACCAAGGCTGCAGAACATCCCTTTCTACCTTCAGGCTCCCTGCTGCCCGGGTGTTCAGTGAGATCAGAACAAGTGGAATTAAAGGCTTTGAAGGAAAATAAAAGGTAAACCTTTGATAGCAAAGGGACTCCCGGTGCTGGTGCTTTCAGATCAGCCTCACACAGGGTGCGGGACTCTATGCACACAGCAGGGGCTGATTAGGCAAGAGACAGGTGAAAATTAACCTCTTCCTTACTGCCTTGAGGATGCAACTTCTTTGCTAACTGGCTATGCTATAAGAATGGTTTTGTGAAGAAAATACAAAGGCAGAAACTGGTGAAAGAAGCATTTCGTGATCACCTTCAAACACTGCGGCTGTCTTCGCTGGGACTCCGGAGCAGCACATTTGGTCCCTGAGCGCAAGGAGAGGTAAATGGATGGGAGGGTGTTAAAACGTGTCTACTTCTGCAGATCTTCCATCAGAGCAGTAGCTGTAGCACGGCCTGTGAAGCAGGAAAATGGAATCACAGGATTGTTAGGGCTGGAAGGGGCCTCTGGAGATCATCTAGTCCACTTCTTCCCTAGGGAGCAGAAGCAGGCAGCCCAGGACACAATCTTGTTGCAGTCCCTTGTGTGCAGGACCTGGGGGTGGGCTGGCTCTGCCTGTCCCTGGGTGAGTAGTAATGCTTCCCTAAGATTTGCTGGGGACTCAGGAGCCACTGGACCCAGACCTGCTCAGGATGGCTGCAATCTCCTGCTGGGCTCTGCCCTGAGAGATGTCTGGGGTCCCTTCTGCCACTGAGGAAGTGACAGGGGGAGAAAGAGACGCATGGGTAGGGAAATGGAGCATCCCTGATCAGCACATTTCCCTCCTCCCCTTTCATCCCCCAGACACAAAGGCTGGCTGCTATTAACAGCTCTGAAGTGCACCTTGGTGCTCAGGATGTTGAGGATGCTCAGGGGATGGGTGTGCTGCAGTGACGATCACCTGCATTTGCATCCTGCAGTGCTGCTCCTCTGCTTGGCCAGGGAGAAGAGCAGGAGTGCACAACTCTGCTTTCCTGGCTTGGCTTTGCAGCTCAACACTCGTTTGTGGAAGGCTTCAGGGGACACCAGGCTCGTAAGTGGACAGTGGTGGCCTCTCAGCAGAGGCTTCACTGTGCCTAGGGATGTGTGACTGCCTGTGCGTGTGGTGGGGATGGAGCCTTTGTGCGTGTTGGCAGAGGTGTACAAGGCATTGCCTTCCCCAAGCAGAGCCTCTGCTGTGCAGGCATGAGTGCGTGGTCTCCAGGACCCTGCCTTATCCTTGCAATAGAGGTATAACGGGTGTGCTGTGCACCCAAGGAGGAGCAGGTGGAGTGGGAATACATGGTCTGGGTAGGGCTGGGCAATGCCTGTGTGCCTTTGGATTTATGTATCTGCAGATCTGTGTTTCTGTGAGGTACTTTGGCACTGTGTGGTCTATAGTAGGGCACAGCAGAGCAGTGAGGGCTGTGCGTGGTGCTGGGGCTGAGCAAGCCCTGTGGGCAGCTCTCACTTATTAGAGACAGACCCTGGTGAAATTCCACTGCTCCACAGCAGCCCCTGCATGTTAATGTGGGGTCTTCTCTGCTGCTCTCTGAAGCCAGGTGGTAGCTCCTGCCAGCAGGAACCTCAGCAAGACTCTCTTTAAATAGCAAACCTTAATGTCCAATGCAGGGCAGAGATATGTGGTGATGAGAGATAGGGCTCTCTGGGCAAGACACCAGCAGGTTCCCGTGCCCTGGGGAAGGAGAGCACTTGCTCAGGTGCAAACACCCTTGTACACAAAGTCATGCATGACAGCATCTCCCTGCCAGGCCTGGCCTTGTGCTTGCACCCCTTATGAGTCTATTTTCTCATCCTTGGGCAGGCAGTGGGGCTGAGAGCCATGGGCTCGTTGTCATGCCATGACTCACTGGGGATGCTGTTGCCCCAGCAATGGCTGAGGAGCCAGCAGCATCTTTGATGGGGTGATGTGAGATCTCTTGGGGAGGGTGAAATGCTCTGCAAGGCAACACAGCATCAGCAAGGTCTGGGGGTGGAAAACACCCCGCGGGGTTTGACCCTCTCTTCCTATGCTGCGTTCAAACCACATGAGGTGTCCTGCACGGCTGCTCCTTGTGCCTGTCTTCTGCTCTATGCAGGTCTCTGGGGCAGGGTTTGTGCCCATGGTCTCTTCACATGGAGGATGATGGCCAAGAATAACGGTCTGCAGAGCTCACCGGCCAACCACCACCCCTGCCCACCCGGGCAAGCCCGAGTGGAGGGGACAGGGCTCACCACGAGGTCAGGCTGGTCCCTGGTGGGGTTGGGGGAGGCAGGGCTGGGGAGGGTCAGCTCTGTGTGTGGCTGAGACCTGGCACGGGCAGGGCTGGGATGCCCAACCTGCTTCCTCCCATTCACCTGGCTGTGGGTGGGTGCCATGATGGCACAGTGTGACTGAGATCCCTCTCTTTTCCTGCTGCAGGACCTGCTCAACCCCAGCTGACACCTCAGAGCTGCAGAGAGGAACTCCCTCGAATGGAGGGGAGCAGCCGCCTGCCTCTGCCTTCCAAGGCAGGAGAACCTTGGCCAGGTACCTGCGTGTGAGCCTGAGCCTTCTGTACCTGGCTTTGACCCTGGGGTCAGCATCCCCTCCTGCTATATGGCATTCAGTGGCTGCAGGGACTGTGAATGGTGCCATGGAGAGAGCTTCAGGAGGGAATGGTTTCATCACATTTGTGTGCCTGGGGGCTTCTTTCAGTTGCAGGCAGCCTCACTCTGTCCCATCACCCATGCTTTCCTCATGCCCCTGCGGGAATGGCAGCAGGACTGGGGAAGGAGCCATGGGACTCTGCCAGGGTGAGCCCTCTTGCTCATATTCTTGGTTCCACACCACAGAATCATAGAATAGTTAGAGTTGGAAAGAACCTTGAGATCATCAAGTTCCAACCCCTCTGCTGTGTCAGCCCCCTGCAGAACTATGAAGCAGTTCTGGATGGGAATATCAGATTTTAGAGGAAGCCCCTTGCTTTTAAATTGCCCTCTTCCTCCTTTTGTTGTTGTTTCTTTATTACTAGCTCCCAGCTCTCTGGGTTAATGCCCTCCTTTTCTGCATGAACTAAGATGGACGCTTGAGGCTCCTGCACTGGCTCCCCCATCAGCTCCCCTGACATTTCAGCTGCCAACAGCATCCCGCAGCTCAGCCCCTGCTGCAGGAGGACCTGCACCAGGGAGCTCCGAGTGCAGCCCTGCCCATTGTGCACCCTCCCCTCACCAGACCAGTGCAGGCACTCTCCTCTCTGCACCCCGAGCTCTGCACTGCAGCCTCCCCTCTCACCGGCTCTGTCTGGTGCCGACGCTGCCACCGCCGGAGCAGAGCTCCCGGAGCGGGCTCTCAGGCTGGCGCTCCCCATCCCCTGCCCGAGAGCCGCGCCCCGCATCCCCGGGCCGGGCCGCTCTCCGCAGCGGGGCTCTGGCTCCTGGACAAGTCCTGTCCCCCGGGGGCTCCCCCCGCTCAGAAGTGAGGCTCGTGGGCCATGAGCTTCCCCTCGCCGTGGTGCTGAAGGCTCCTCTGGAGCTGCTGCCCTCAGGAAATGACCAAATGAGCATCACTGCAAGGGAGGAGAAAGGAAACATTGGGGTTTAGAGGGACCTGTGAGCGTTTTCGTCTCGGCTGTAACCACTCCGCTGGTTCTGAAGCCTTCTCCTCGCTCTCTTTCCTCTTTCCCTCATCCAGGATAGTCCGGCTGGTGATGGTGCTGAGGGACTGGGCCAGCAGGAGCTTGCACGAGGAGCAGCAAAAGCCAGACCCCTTCCTTGAGCGCTTCCAGGGCACCGAGTTCCAGGCAGCGGCTGCCAGAATCGCCAGTGACCTACAGGATGAGGAGACCGAGGAGGGAAACAAGAAGTAGGGTTGCTTTCCTGTGGCCACAGCCGTCCTTGGCTTGAGACAGCCATGCAGTGATGGTTGATGGATGGGGATGGGGATGGAAAAGGGAGTGGTAGGATGCAGTGGTAGGAAGGGTCCTCCCTGCCCTCTCCGGCCAGCCTGGCACATAGGGCCTGGTAGTCTGTCCCTGTGGAAAAGACCTGGACTGTACCTTGCCTATGTGGCCTTCTCTTCCCTGGTGCATGCCCTGGTGGGAAGCACACGTTGCATGGCTTGTGACAGCTAGCAGAGCTCCCCATTTCCAGAGCAGTTCAACGCTAGGGTTGGTGTTCAGAGCCAGCCCTGGGTCTGTGAGGAGACATACCTTCAGCTTTTGTGCATATGGGGAGCTGGGGACAAGGCAAGGGATGTGGGATCTCCATACAGGAGACCACAGCAAGCATGAACACATGGGGTTTGCCAGTCTCATCATCTGCAGGATGAAGGGAGTGTGTTTGCTGCCCTGGCCTCCCCAGGAGCAGATGCTGTGACGGCAGCTTTGTGAAAAGGCTCTTTCAAATCCAGCCCTTTCATCTCCTCAGCTCTCATTCCTGGTGCAAAGCTATAACCTGGCTTTTCTTCTGCTGGCTGATTAAAGGGCAAAGCTCATGGACTCCTCTGTACCCTGCCATTATCCGTGGTAATTAAAACACCAAGAAGCAATTGTTTTCTGTAGGAGAAAAAGATCTGAGCCTTGTATCCGGGCCTTTACTGGGCATGGAAATTGTTCTGCCCTGTGAGGTTAAGGGGAGATTGTTAATTATCAGAGGGAGATGAAGCATGCCCTGAAAGGGCTCTTGGTGCCATTGGACTCCTGAGGACATGGTGGTAACTTCTGCTGTTTTCTGGTCCACAGCTCCACAGGCAAGTACCATAGGGCAAGTAACCACAGGTAACGCTGAATGTGAGCTGCTGTGTCCCACAGCCATGGGAGACTCCATGGTTGCAAAGCCTTAAGGAAGAGGCAGATTCCCTCTTCCTGGGCTAACCCAGAGCTCTGGTTTCCACATGGCATGGGCAGCGCTGGTGATTTAAAGCTGGAATTACCATTATCAGCATTGTTATTGAGGTTATTAGTGCTTGTGGGTGTCACAACAGAAGTGTCTGGCTACGGGTGTCAGTGCTTCCAGTGTGCTGGGGACCAGGAAATCCCTATCTCAAAACCCATTAAAGTGGCTCTTTCTGAGCAAAAGATAAGCACTTCTAATGGGGAAGCTGGACTGCAAGCTTGTCTGTGCTGTATCCAGAGGGAGTGTGAAGGACTGCTGCTGGGTTTGTGCTGAGTGCTGCTCCCCATGTTCCGGGCACTGTGAGTGCTGCCGCCTGTGCCGCTGGGGAAGGAGACTTCAATGCAGAGGTTTTGCTTTTGAAGCTGTCAGAAGCAATGGGGTGGGCATGGGGAATCTGTTGGCAAGTGGGTTGTTTTTTTTTCCTATCGCTGGAGGGAGTTTTCCATGTTCAAAAGTGGGAAAGGAGGGAGGGGAAAGAGTTTTGCCCTACCAGGCTGCAGCCACTGAGCTTATCTGCCCAGCTGCAGAGTTTCTCTTCCCCCCAGCTTCTCCAGTGAGATCTGGCTACCGGAGCACACACAGCTAATCTCAGAGTCCCAAGATGAGCAGGATCAAACACTTGGGAGCAGTTCAAAGGCTGGACCAGGACTGAGCAGGCTGCAGGCAGGCAGCTACAAGCAGCATGGTGATGGCAGCATTGCAATGCCAGCTGCCCTGGGTTGCTGCTCTGGGGCTTGGGCATCTCTTGGTGCTCTCACTGATCTGCAGAACACTTTCCTTCCTGCTCTAATTGATCTTCTTTTAAGATCTGCTAATTGATCTTCTTTTAAGATCTGTCTGGCATGGATCCATACCTCATCTGGGAGAGGTAATGTCATGTAACAAGAAGTTTTCTGATCATCCTCTTCCACACATCTGTTTCTGGCTTTGATACTGTGGTGCTGGGTGTATGTAGGCTGCCGGCTCTGCCTTAATGTCCTACAGTTTCCTCTTCTGGTACATTAGTGAGCCCAGTTTTAGGGATAAAGAAGCTTAAACAGTGCTGGACATTTTTACTCAGCACTGCTGGGATCGTTTTTATCTTACAGACTGACACTCAAGCTGCAGCTATGTTTTAAACCAGTCCAGTGCAAGGGTTAAAAGATGGTTCCTTCCAACCCTATTTTCTGTATTTAGCCCTTTATTTATACATTGCCAGCTCTGGTTTCTCTCTGGTTCCAGGAAGAAATGGCAGATCTTTGTGGTGGACCCTGCAGGGGACTGGTATTACTGCTGGCTGGCTGTCATTGCAGTTCCTGTCCTCTATAACTGGTGCTTGCTCGTAGCCAGGTGAGTTGGGAGGTTGTAGGCTCCCTCTCTCCTCTATTCCTCCTGTTCACCTGGTTGTCATTGCTCAGCTGGTATCAGACAAATGACACTGGTGGTGCTGGGGCAGGTATGAACCTAAAGGAAAGGGATCCCCTGCTATCTCTGTGACTTCTATGGTTCAGAGGCAGAGCATCCATCCTCTGGCCCTGGTTGGAAAGGACCATGATTTTGGGGTAAAGCTGTAAGGTATATCTGGGAGGTGGTTTCAAGACATTGCTTCACCTACGTGAAGAGAGGACAGGGTTTTCAGAGAAGGGGGTTTTAATTTCTAGGAGAAGAGGGGCAAATGGCCAAGCTCTGTTGCAGGGTTAGGAGCCTCAGAATCAGCCTATGCATCTGTAATAACTGGAGATGATACGGAGATTTGTTGGTCTCACCACCCTAATTTATGACCTTCCTCCAGGGCTTGCTTCAATGACCTGCAAGAGACCTATGTTGTCCTCTGGCTGGTGTTAGACTACGTCTCGGACTCTATCTACATTGGGGACATAGTGATCCGCCTGCGCACAGGTAAGCAGAAACAGAACCCTTGCTTGTGAGTGCTCCTAAAAGTGGAGATGATCTGCCAGGGAGAGACCTAATCTACAGCTCCATTAGAGGGAGGGTTTTGTCTCCCTTGGCAGTCACTAATAGGAAGCAGTCTCCACAGAAAGAATCTAATGAGAAAAATCTGAGAAACGGAGTCAGTTTCAGAGTGAAAGATTAATCATCCCAGCTTCCAGCTTCACCTTTGAATAATTGTACCAGATTACCTGCGTTGCTATTAGTGTTCGGGCATAGTTGAAGGTCTGCATCTCTGATTTTGCATCAGTTCAGCTAATGAATTATCTACATGAGAAAACGGTAGAATTTAGTGTTCTCAGAACGTGGCAGGTAGCTGTACATTTCTGTTAGAACTGTAATAATTCATGACCTGGAGGATGGAAACCTTAGTGTCCCCATCTCTTTGTAGCAACAAACTAAATCCCTAAGTGGTATCTTTAGGTGGCTTTTGCCAGATGAAGTGTAACAAAAGCTTGTAAATGGAGTAGGTCAGGTGGAAATGGTAGTATTTGCATGACCCTGTGCATACATGTGCATGTCATCCCATAAAATGTTTCTCAAAAACACTTACAAACCCTGCAGTAGAGTTGAACATTAGCCAAGATAATTCTGTCATGTGCTTGTCCATTAGGTTTCTTGGAACAGGGGCTCCTGGTTAAGGACACGAAGAAGTTACGGGATAACTACATCCATACCTTACAGTTCAAGCTGGATGTTCTCTCCATCCTGCCCACAGACCTGGTGTACTTCACTGTGGGATTGCACTGCCCTGAGTTGCGTTTCAACAGGCTGCTCCGCTTCTCCCGCATGTTTGAGTTCTTCAATAGGACCGAGACCAGAACCAGCCACCCCAACATCTTCCGCATCAGCAACTTGGTTCTTTACATCCTGGTCATCATCCACTGGAATGCATGCATATATTATGCCATCTCCAAGGCCATAGGGCTTGGAAAGGACAGCTGGGTCTATCCCAACATCACAGACCCTGAATACAGTAATCTGACCCTGGGGTACGTCTACTGTCTCTACTGGTCTACCTTGACTTTGACTACTATTGGAGAGACCCCTCCGCCTGTGACTGATGAAGAATACCTCTTTGTGATCTTTGATTTCCTCATCGGTGTCCTCATCTTTGCCACCATTGTGGGGAATGTGGGATCCATGATATCTAACATGAATGCCACTAGGGCAGAGTTCCAGGCAAAAGTTGATGCTATCAAACACTACATGCAGTTCCACAAGGTGAGCAGAGACATGGAAACCAAAGTCATCAAGTGGTTTGACTATGTGTGGACCAACAAGAAAGCAGTAGACGAACGGGAAGTCCTCAAGAATCTCCCTGATAAGTTAAGGGCAGAGATTGCCATCAACGTTCACCTGGAGACACTGAAGAAGGTGAGGATATTCCAGAACTGTGAGGCTGATCTACTGGTGGAGCTGGTGCTGAAGCTTCGCCCTCAGGTGTTCAGCCCAGGGGATTACATTTGCCGGAAAGGGGACATTGGGAAAGAGATGTATATCATCAAGGAGGGGAAGCTGGCTGTGGTGGGAGATGATGGAACGACACAGTATGCTTTGCTCACTGCAGGAAGCTGCTTTGGTGAGATCAGCATCCTCAACATTAAAGGCAGCAAAATGGGCAACAGGCGCACAGCCAACATCCGTAGCTTGGGATACTCTGATCTCTTCTGCTTGTCAAAGGAAGATCTTATGGAAGCAGTCACAGAGTATCCTGATGCCAAAAGGATCTTGGAGGAGCGTGGTCGGGAGATACTGATCAAGGAAGGGCTGCTGGATGAGACGGCTACAGAAGAAAGCACGGAAGGGAAGAGCATGGAGGAGAGGCTGGACAGTCTGGCCTTGAACTTGGACACACTGCACACACGCTTTGGCCGGGTCCTGACAGAGTACAATGATGCCCAGAAGAAACTCAAGCAGCGCATCACTGTTCTGGAGTCCAAGATGAGGCAGCAGGATCTGGAGGACTTCTCTGATAGCTCAGACAGTCTGCTTGAGGATGAGGTGAAAGCTTTACTTGGTGGGACACCATGAGGAGGTGCAGAGGTCAGCTGGGTGATGTCTGGCCTTCTGCTGAGACAGTGTTTGCTATTTCACAATGCAGATCCTAAGGCTGCCTTGCCAGGGACTTCCCTCAGGTCCTTAGCATTGCTGCTGCCACTGCCTTGATGGCAGCTCCTGAGATGGCCCCAAATGAGGTGATTGTCCTAGCTCCTCCTCTGGCCTGTCGCTTTTCATCTGAGACCTGGGACTTGGATCACTAAAAAGAGGAGAATGGCTAGTGCCACTGCTAACATTTCCTTCCAGCTTCTGCAGGAGGTCTATGCCCATCACATCTTCTTCCTCCTATTTGCCTTAGTAGAAGGTGGGACGTGAAGGTTGCATGGAGGGGTACCTGGAAAAGTTTACCTCCCATGTATGTTGTGGTGGTCAAATCACCCTGAAATTAGAAATTGGGGTAAGATAAAAAGTTTTTTATCATCTCTAAATTAAATTGTAGGGTTTCTGGTTTGGTTTTTTTTTTGGTTGGTTAGTTTTTTGTTTTTTTTTAATTACTGAGATGATTTTGGTTGCAGACGAGGTGGTTTCTGCTCTGCCTTTTCTCACAGCACCAAGAGCCCTGGCTCGCAGCTGTCCCTTTTCCTGTGATTTATGGACCCCGATCTTGCGGCTCGTTCTTTGCCTGCTCCGTTCGGCGCATTCCCCCCTCCAGCATCCCCTGGGGAGCCGAGCCGAGCTGCCGCCCCGAGCAGCCGCTGTCGCCTTGCTAGTGCGGCGCGGCCGCCAGCAGGGGGTGCTGTGAGCCGCCGAACCGCCGCGCCTGCAGCCGCCGAGCCCGGAGCCGCAGGGGACGGCGGCGGCCGCAGCAGCCGGACCCTCGCTGGGTACCTGGGTTCGCGTCCCGCTGCGATGCCAAGCGCCGGGCACGGGAACCTGGAGTGATTCCCGATGGAGCCGGAGCTCCCTGCAGGGAGAGTGCTCAGGCATTGGAACAGGCTGGCCAGGGCAGTGCTGGAGTCACCGTCCCTGGAAGCGTTCACAAACCATACAGATGAGGCCCGCAGTGCCATGGGGCAGTGGGGGCCTTGGCAGTCCTGGGGTAACGGTTGGACTAATGATCTTAAAGGTCTTTTCCAACCTGGTTGTTTCTATGATTCTCAGTTCCCTTTTGCCTGCCCCATGCACCTAATCCGTGCCCCTCTCGCTTGAGAGCCTGGGGGCTTTGCATCTCTGCTGCTGCTGCGGAGCAGGGCTGGCCAGGGCATGCAGCCAGCCTGGGGCAGCGGGTGCCTGTGATCCCGCCTGGCCCGGGGACAGGGAAACTCCTGCCTCCGGGCTGGGGAACTGGCAGTTTAGGGGATATTCAGGCTTATTCCAGGGGAAAAACCCAAAAGGAAGCAACCCCCCTCGCTCCCCCACTTCTAATCCCGGATAATAGTCCACACGGGAAATTGTAAACCTTCAGACAAATTACCCCAGAGGGTGGCTTTGTGAATGCAGAGCAGATCCTGCTTGTTTCCTCGCGGCGACAAGCCAGGAAATCAGAGACTGATGAACCACTTGACAGGCCTGCTAATGAAATTAGCAGCAGCTCCATGGCTCTTTGGGTGCACAGGACAGGCAGATGTTGGAGTGGAGCACACAGCTGCACTCAGTTCCCAGCAGGGTGGACATGGGGCACATCAGATACAGCTTTGGCTGCTGCTCATTTTACAGATGGTTTCGGTAGGTACCTATCCCCCCATAGCCTCTCCTGGAGATGGGGAGCAGTGGGCTGCTTAAGGCTGCTCATCAGGGCTGACATCCAGGAGGAAAAGCTGAGGGTGCCCAGTGTAAGGGTCTGCTCAGCACCTTGCAGAGGCTTGCCCATGCACAGCGACACATTAAACTGTTTTATCTGTGTATTACCGGTCGTTTCCTTCTTTTAGGTCTCTCCCATTGCAAAATATAATGCCCCATACCACAGAGGCTTTCTCAACTGTGTGATGTGGGTGGGAGACATCAAATATAGATGAAACATATTGAGGTCAGACCAGGGGGAAATGTATGTGCCTCAGCAGGGTTCCAGTGCCATCCATTCCATTCCAGTGCCATCGAACCAGAGCTGCAGGAGAAAGGCTGGGATTCTCAGGTGTACCAGCCATGAATGTGTTATGTGGAACTGGGTTTCCCTCCCCTCTGAGCATCGCTTCTAGGAATGAAATCATCATTGCTGGATGATAGCCAGAAAAAGCTCTCATCCGCCTTTGGGAAACGTAAGTACCCAGTTCACAGCTGGGGGGAATGGAGAGACGTGCCAGGGAGCAGCAGTGATAACCCCTGCCTCCCTCCTGCCTGCTTCTTGATTTTCTTAAGAGGTTCATGAAGAAGCCACTTTGGTGACTGTGAGCAAGCCCCTCTTCTCCTTAGGCAGAGGGCAGCAGGGCTGAGACTGCAGCACAGGAGAGCATCTGCCTTTGCCCCTTCGCCAGAGCTAATTTAGGTCAGCAGGCTGCAGGCAGGGTTCGTATGGGGTTTGACCACTGGATTGCAGAGTGGGCCTGGCTTTGAGCCCAGAGTCTGGCATGAAGCCTGCAGCTTCTGTGTCTTGCACCACAGCCCTGGTGGGAGGGTCTGTTGTGCAGGCAGTGCTGGGGAAAGGTGTGGGACACAGGGCTGTGAGGATGGTTGGCTCACGACTCACTGCGATACCTGATGGCTGTGGGTCTGGTGTGTGGCGTGAGAGGGGCAGCAGTGCAGCTGCTCTTAGCACTGCTGAGCTTGGTGACGGTCTTCTCCATGGTGTGTCACTGCAGCAGTCTGCACTGCCGAGATGCGGTCTGGCTGCCCAGCCAGGACCTCAGTGGTGTGAAGCAGGGGGCTCTGTGCTCCTGACTGCCTTGTGTCTCTCCTATGGGCTCAGCTCGAAAATCAGCAAAGTTTGGAGGCAGCTCTGCAGCATGGGCCCCTCTCAGCACTCCTTAAATAGTTTTCCCTCCTCCAGCTCCTGCCTCCTCTGTGCCGGAGGGAACCAAGACCGCCCGCCTGCTGCTGGTACTGCCTTCCCAGTAGTGAGGCACTGCATGCAGAGAGCTGCTGCGAGCAAGATTTCCCCCTGTTCTCTGGGGGCTGGGATGTGGAGGTGGTGTAGAAGGTCACTGGACTGCCATGCAGCTCTTCCCTGGCGCGGGGATGGCTTGCTTATGCTCATTTGGATTCAAGAGCTCTGAAATCAAAGCACTGCCTCCTTCCCCTGCAGGTATGAGTGGGGTTTCAAAGGAAAGGCTCTATGCTCAGCAGCTTCTCATGGCCCATGGGCGATGCTGGATGTCCTGTGGCTGCTCCTGGGTGATGGCTGGAGAGGACAGCCACCACCCACCAGCATAGGAGCTACTGTCGAAGGGCTTCCGGTGGTGCTGGGCAGCGTGTGTTTTCTTTGCAGCCCCTGGTGAATATCTGGGGACCTTCCTGAAGTGTTTTATTGAGTCTTGACTCACTGAGGTGTGTTCTGCCCTTTGGAGGGGGAGGTTGGTGCTGAGCACCCAGCATGTCATGGTGGGTGCTCAGTCTCAGTTTCATCCTGTGGAGGTCAACCTCTGTTCATGTGGTGTGGAGCAGTGTCCTCATCACCATGAGCACGTTTCTCAGCCATAGGAGTGGAGCCGCAGTGGCTGACCATTGTACTCCTCTCACAGGTGGCATCATGCAGGTCCAGGTCAGCCTCTGTGTGAGCTCCCATGCCAACTGTCTCACTTGCTCCCTTCTCCTTCCCTGTTCAAATAGGAGGGTGCACCTCCTCCTCGGTTAAACAAGCAGAAGCACCCATTGCTTCCTTCATCAGTGTGTGTTGCCATGACAGCAGCTCAGGGTGATGGGTGAGCAGGAGGTGAAGCCACCTCAGCCATCTCCCTTGGAGGGATGGAGGGAAAACCTGGCATGCTTTCCCAAAACCCCTTCTCCCCAGAACCCACTGGCCTGGGGCTCCTGAGGGGGAAGGCCTCCTTACTGCATCATGGGTCTCTTCCTGTTGTCCTCCTCCTTAGCAGGGTTGCAGTGGTAGGGTCTGAGTTGAGTCTTGAAGGCAGGATCCAGGCTGGGCTCTGATGACACTGACACAGGACTGGTTGCCCGTAAGCTTGCCACCTCCTGTGGGGACATCCACCTTGGCTGGTTCTGCCAAACTCTGGGGTGGGAGACATGGCCCCTCCACATGGTTTATTTAGGGTGAGAGCCTGCAGAGCCAGGATCTGCAAAGAGGGATGCTTGTAGACTGCGGGTATCCTTCCCTTCCTTTATGGCTTCAGTCGCCCTTGTCCCCTCCCTGCCCCAAGCAACAGTTTTTTCCTGGACCTGTTCCTGAACATTGCCTGTTGGTCTCAGCCACAAGTCACATCACATCTTCGGGACTAGAGAGGGGAGGGAGGGGAAATACAGCAGAGGATTTAGGCTTATCCTTCTTGGAGACAGATAGAGTCTGTGATGGAGAGCGCATCCCTCTGCCTGCCTGGCTGGATTACCTGCAGTTGTAGCAGAACCTTTGATCTCCTCCAGTGCTGTGATCCCAGTGTGTGATGTGGGATGGGGGGGCACCAGAGGGGTGGCCGCTGTGCTCTAGGAAGAGCTGCCGCAGTGCTTTGCTTGGTGGGATGGTCTGCCATAGCTTGGATGGAGGAGAGGAAAGCAAGATAGGCTGGAGGAGGAGGAGAAGAAGGAATCTAAACCTGTGCCTGCAATCCCTCATGGCTTTCCCTGGAGCTCAGAGGAAGCCCTGATAACACACCAGGCAGAGGGTGAAGATCCTCCCATGCCCATGATGTGGTTGCAAACCTTGCTGAGGAGGTTGCCAGGGTAGTTCTGAGGGTAAGAAGTTTTGGAGGCACTCTGGCACTTTTCTGGGAAGTTTTTGGAGCATATCCAGAGATGCCTATCCAACATCCTTGCCTGCAGGAGCATCCTTGCTTCTGAGCCCTCAGATGGTGATGCTGCACTTGGGTACCCTGCTGCCTGTGTAATCTAGGCCATGATGGCATCTGCTTGGTGTGTGTGATCAGAGGGATGGGGAGCAAGCTCCCAGTCCCAGTGTCTGGCTCTTTTTCCGGCCCCAGGAGGACAGCTGCCGGAAGCTACACAAGACAGAGGGGTGGGGAGATGGTGACATGGTAATGCAGAGCAGGAAAGCAGCAGTTTCTCACCTCATGGGTGGCTGTGGGTGCTTCTGAGCCTATTCATAGCTCTGTCACTGGCAGAGTGCTGTCTAGATGCTCCTCACTTGTCTCCTGAGTCACAAAGTTTCTGCTCCTGTTGAGAAGTGAGGATTCAGCAGCCATCTTCCTCTCCAGACGGACCTGCAATGGCCAGGAATGGGCAGCCTCAGCTCCCATCTCATCACAACCACCTGCCTCATCTCAGGAGCTGCGTGTTTCTACTGAAAGAAACCCAAGTCCCCGGTGATGGGCTCCATCTCCCCTGCTCCCATTCCCATGCAAGCTACAGGCTCCAACTTCAGTGCTAAAACCCATCTT